GTAACAAACAAATGCATAAAATATTCCTCTAAGAGAGGCCAGTGCTGTTCCTGCACATATGGACAGAGAGATTCCAAAGGCCAGTGACTTCTCCTGGAAGACAGACTCAGGTTCTGAGCTGGTGTCCTGCTTGCCATCCCTCCATCCTTCCATCCTCTTCTCCCTCCTCCTCTGTATCTCATGTGCACAGACAGACAGAAACTCTTCCCCTCTCTCTCTCTCTCTGAGATTTGATACAGACACAAAAATTGAAGTTGGATCAGAGCAAAAGGAAAACAAAAATTTGTGTGAAAATTTTCACCTTTTCACTAAATGAATCAAAGCCAAATTTTCACACTTTGGTCTTAGGTGTGAATATTTTGCACACCTCTAATATTTATCCATAAAGTGTTTTAAAACTTGGCTCATTCCAGCTAAAAACCCACAGAGAATTGAGTTACAGATTCTGGGCTTTGTGCATGCTGCCAAGATCTGCCCCTATAACTCAAACAAATTTAAGGGGGGGAAAAAAACCACTAGAAAAATATTGTGTATGGTCCATCACATGCTTTCTTCATGCAGTCATATTCCACTAAAAAGTAATGTTCTGCAGAAATACACTCATGTAACTCCTGTAAACACAGATAAGATGAATTTTGCATCTCCAAAGCAATCTCTAAATAAAAGCTTAGGAGGAAATAGCAGCCTTGCTTAAAATTCTTATAGAAGTTTAAAAGTATTTCTTCAACATCAGCATTTCAAGAAATCTATTTATGCCCCTCAAATCCAAATATATCTGCCACTGAACTTCTTAAAATGATGCTAAAGACATCTGTTAGCTGAGTTTGTGTGTGTGGAATAGAGATGAATGAGAAAGAGGTTCTTCACTGCTGCAGAACAATTGAAATTATTACATAGAATATTATTTGTTTGTTGTGAGGACTAGAAGTGTAAGAAAAGTCACTGTAATAGTCTGAAGGTTAACACCTGCTGAATCCTGAAATCAGGACACATCTGGTAGGAAGAATGTTCCTACATTTCAGTCTGTTGTGAATGGGGCAACTTTTACATTATTTTTCTCCTGCTGCTGGATCTGTGACAGGAAAACTGGAGGGGTGAGAGTGCCCTGAGTGTGAGCATCAGATTCCCCAATTTGGTGCTTTGCTGCTCCGTGTGCAGTCACGTGCTGTCAGCCACTGAAATGGCACAGGAGAACCTGAAATGATCTGTGGTTGTTTCATTGTTAATAATTACCTTAGGTTAAAGTCCAGGCATTTCTTGGGATTACCAAAATGACTGAGTGGTGAGAACACAGCTGGGAAGTTGCATTTGTGCTCAGATGCCTTACCATTTAACTTTGGATACAATTGTTAAAACCTCAAAATAAAGAAAAAACCCAATTGGGATTTTGTTGCTTGACTTTCTAAACTAAGGCTGGTGTCCCTAAATCTGATTTCTCATCTTCTGTGTACTTTCAGGCTCACATCCCATTAATTTTCAGTAATACTCAACCTATCATTCCTTGAGTCACAGCTGAAAATCAGACTTGGGGACTATTCTAGGTTGGGCTAGATGGTCTCCAAGGTCCCTTCCAGCCCAGTTGATTCTGTGATTCCATCCACAAGTGGGCTTCACTGGCCTCCCTGTGCAGTCCCAAGGGGTGTGGTCTCCTCCTGTGGGATGTGCTGGTTTTGTGAGGCAGCTCTTGTAGGTCAGACAGTCAGAGAAGATGGGTCTCCCAGCCTGAAGGTGTTCCCTATGTGCACCTCCTGTGGCTTCTGCACCAGGCTGATGGGCTTCTCCTGCTGCCTCCTCCCACACAGGGTTAAAAACCTTTTCCTTCCCATTATTGAAGGGTCAACAGTTGAAATTTCCAGCTTTAAGATGCTGTGTCAAAGTTGGGCTTCCCTAGGAGATGGGATTTTCCCTGGGTTCCCATTGGAGACTCACTGCCTGCTGGGGCTGCCCTGGGCTCCTCAGCTGGGCAAGTGATGGATCCCCAGCCTCAGATGATGTGGAATGGAATTCAGCCACCAGGACCGAGTGGATTTGAGTGGCTGCTGACCTTCCCAGCAGCAAAATGGCACCTTGTCCTGAGATCTTGGTAGGCCTTGGGGAGTTTGGTTCCCTGTCCCTTCCCAGGCAGGGATAACCCCGCTGGGCTGGGTCTCTCCATGGAGAGCAGAGTGTTTACTGGCTTGTATCTGTCTCAGCGTTGACACTCCAACAAAAGATTAGAAATCATGAATGCATCCCTTTATTTCTGCTCCACAGTGCCTCTCTTTTTTCCTGTGTAAACCCTTCACTTGCCTCTTGCCCAGCCTTTAGAAACGATGATCAAATGCGAACTTTCAGGGTTTATTTATAGCATAGCCTTTATGGAAAGAGAGAAAAGAAATGATTAAAAAGCAATTTTACAAAATATTTTGTTTTAAGAGAGAATTCATTGTGTTTTAAATCACTGTATTCATTGTACTGTCTAGACTGGCAAACAAAGAAGATAGAGCGTCATTCAAATTAAGATTGTGAAATCCTTGGTGACTGGAATTATGGATTTGGATGTCAACCCTCAAACAAACTATTTCTGAACGGCAGTATTATCACTTTGCTATATTTAAGGCTTTGTTGGAGACAGAGCAGTGCACAAGGTTGATCCCATTCAGTAATGCAATTCTAATGTTCCTTTGTTTCCCATTTCATTATAAATTCATATTTTCAATGTTCTGTTCCTCTTTGTCCCCAGAAAATTGTTGAAAAGACTCTCCTCTGGGAGTAAAGTTTTTTGTTCAAGCTAACAATGACCAAACTGACTTTAAAACACAGAAAAACACACAACTAAAATGTGAATTGAGAGAGGGAATTTATTTAAGATATTTTCAGCAACACAGAATGGGTGACTTGTTGAAAATTGCTGGCGGCTGTGTACTTTTTTGCCATGCTATTCCACAGAACCATGGCAGTTGCTGTGAGACTTTAATGCTGTGGATTCTCAAAGGTCTGTGTATTTTCAGTAGATTTAAAAATGCCAAAGTATTTTAGAGGATAAACTGGAAAATTGATAAACTTGGAAGTCATCCTCCTTAGCTCAGGGTGGATGATGGAGGTCCAGCAGAAGAGAAGCAGCATTTTCTGGAAGCTGTAAGAGTAAAGCAGATCACAGGAGTGTGGAGCACCCATGTCACAGGCAGAACATAGCCTGGGGATGGTGCTGTGTCCTGGTCCTGAGTGTGCACAGACAGGGGAATGCAAAGTCTGGCCATCCTTTTCATTTTTGTTGTATCTGTGATAAGAAATGGATTTGCCTGTTTAGACACTTCAGATGTTATGGGTTTATTTTCATACAGTGTCTCCAGGGCAGTTCAAAAGGAGGTGTAAAGCAGGGAGCAGAAAGGAAGGTGACTCTTCCTTAGTGAGAGAGTGTTTCAGGGGGCTTTGTTGTCCCTAAGGCACAATGGAAAAGCAGTAGCCATTGTACCAGAGGGAATTGGCTTCTACTTTGAGTTACCTTTTTTTTTTTCCTGAGTGTTCATTCATTTTTTTGGATAGACTGTAAATCCAGCTGGCCATGTAAGGGACTGGGTATTGTAAATAGGGACAATGCTTGAGCATTGTCAATGTCACCTGTTAAAGGCCAGGGAATAAAATGCCCATTTCTCTTACTGGGAAGGATATCAGCCTTTCCATGGCAGTATTTTAATCTGGCTGCTGTGCAGAGTCTCAGTGCCAGCAGGCTCACATGTCCCAGGCAAAAGAACACACTATCTCTCTGCAAGTGCTATTTCAAGGGTGTTTCTTGGGGAACCCAAGTACAATCAACCTCTGCACCTCTGCAGGAGAATGGGCATATGAGAGCACAGAAATGTTCCCTGCTGCTGTGTCAGCACCCTTAGCAGAGTGGAGTCCTGACTGCACACCTGGCAATGCTTCTGCCTTTGGTAGAGCCTGCCCTGGGCTAGTGACACTGCACTGACATTGCTCATCCACCTTGTGAAGTTCTGTGAGATCTTTTGCTGAAAAGTGCTGGATTAATGCAAAGCAGAAATTTCACTAGGGCTGGTATTCCAGCCTGTAAAATCATCCAAACCTTTTAAAAATGTTCCAGCCTTTAAAAAATGTTCCAGCAGTAGCACAGGCTGCTTGTTCTCCAGGGTCATCCTCATTCTTACACATTGCATTAAAACAGATCCAGGTCTTGCATAGAAACTCTGAACCCTGATTTAGTCACACACTGACTCTTGAGTCCTGATCTTTAATGTTTTTAACATTCTCCCATCTAAAAGCTGTTGCTTTAATTCTCCTTGTGAAATCAGAGTGTCTGCTGCCTCCAGTGTATCTGAGAGCTCGGGCCTCTTAACTTTGGTGATTCTCATTCCAGTGGGATTGCTTGGGAGAATCCATGGAAAATCAGCATCTCACAGAGATCAGAAAAGGAACCAAATTGCTCATCCCTCTCCCTTCCACACATGGCTGTCCCAGAGACTCCTTCTGCAGGGGATTCTGTAAGCTCTGACTTTATTTTGGCCAAAAGCAGAGCAGGATCAGAGTTTGCCTCTTAGACCTTTGTGCTGGAATGTGAGGGCAGCTGTGAGCTGCAGAACAGACCTTCCCAGGTTACCTTCACCTTGTGGAGCACCCCTGAGTCCTCTCTCACTGCAGGGAACTGATTCTTTCAGAAAACGATAACAGGATCTCAAGTACAGTATCATTTTATTTGAGAACCCACCCCTCCAGGGATGCAGTGTTTAACATTTCCTTTGGTTAGAGTAAATAATAAATGATAACTCTGTTCTGCCTGGGACTCCCAGTGAGAGAGAGGAACAGACTTTGGTTACTGAGGGTCTGCAGAGCTTTGTTCTCTTACTACTTTATAATGGGATTGAACATATTTGCTGCCATCTGGCCTGTTCAGCCGAAACAAAATACATCACTAATGTTCCGATTGGTTTTGAAACATCTTGTTCTTGTCAAAAAGTATTTTAAATCAAAACAGGCTTTTCCAGTTGGTGTTTGTCTTTTCCTAGGAGGCCATGGCAAAAATGGGGAAAATTGGAAAAGTTGTGCAGCCCAACCATGAGCATAAAAGGTAACGCTGGCCCTGGTGTGTTCCACTGGGAGAGTTCAAGGGAGATAAAGTTGGGGTCTGGAGATGAGGTTGGGTGGTGTCTTTTTACAGCCCTGCTCGTCTGCAGTAGTGCTTAGCATACAAATACTTTAAGAATCACGGTATATTATATTTTTAAGAATTGTTCATATTGCATTTCTAAGGATTATTTGTATTAATTTTTAAAGCTTGATGATTTATATTACATTTAAGGAGCAGTAATATTCTATTTTAAATTATTATTTCTATTAATTTTTAAGGATTATTTTCTATCACATTGTATTTTAAGGGTAATTTGCGTTACATTTTCAAGGGCTCCGGATCGCACGGGCGGCGGCGCGCGGGCTCCCCC